CTTTGTTGAAGGTGCAAGTTGGTCCTTTATTTGTTATAAACTTTTGTTTTAATTTTTTGTTCAAGGAACAAGCTAGAGGCAGGGGAAGGGCAATAAGAGTTTGAGGCAGGGGAAGGGGAACAAGTATGCCAAGTGTTCCTGTCAGACAACCAGATCAAGCTGACACTTCAATCCAAGATAGACCTTTTAGAAGAACAAAGCTTGGGGTAATAGCATTTGTACTGATTTGGTTTCAATACTTATATTCAATGTTTAAACCAAATTTGGACTGATTTGCTGATTTTTGTCATTCAATTAGGCGAGAAGAAGGGGGCAAATGTCTGAACTAACAAGGCAGCTTGCTCAAACTGGTGCTACCTTACAAGGAATTCAAATTGGGCATGCTTCTCAACCAAACTCAGAAAACGTACCTCTACCGAAAAGACCAAGGCCATGGAGAGTGTAGCTGAGATTTGCTGATTTTGGTTTTTTGGAACACCAAAACATTAGGACTGCTTATGTAATGGATATGTTTTGGAACATTTTATTTTGATGAATTTGTAGCTGATATGGTCCTAGGATTCTCATACTGATTTCAGAAGACCAAGTATTGGAACACAAATGTTTTGGTTGGATTACAGTTAGAACACATGTGTTGCTTGGATTTGTGCGGTGGAATGTTTTGTAATGGATATGTTTTGGTTTAATACTGTTGCAACAGTTATGTTTGTTTGCTTGCTTATATGACCTTTTTGCCAATTGGAAACAAAATTGTCAAAACACAACTCATACATGCCATTACATTCAACAAAAAGACCAAAAAGTCCATGTTTTACACATCTGCAACACAATTGATACACGGCAGGTGACATTGTCTTTGCCTTTCCCTCTCCCGTTTATTTATAAGACAGATTACATACACTTCTCTAGCCCTTCGTTGTCTTTGCCTTTCCCATACATCAACCACAAAACTATCACAAACAACAAACAAGACACCCAAAACCAAGGGTTCTTTTTCAGCTTCTCTGGCCGAGACTTTTTTGCATCTTCCAACATGTTTATTTTCCGTAGCAGCCCAGGTATAATTTGCTTCGACCTCTCACACATTTGTGGGTCACCCCATTCCCAATATCTACATCTATTCTGCACATTCCTCCCAACAAATTGATACCCAAAAAAAAAAACATAAGAAAAAAAGTGCATCAATCCAAATTTCCACTTAGCAACCCAAATTTCAAATCTGCAAACCAAATTTCAATTATAAACTTACCCTCCCACAGATGTAAAACCTCCTCCCTGGATGTGCAGCAGTCCAAGATGTTTGGATTTTCGCAGTCTTACCACAATAGCAAACGACTGAAGGCATCATCCATGAACTACCCTCTTCACCTTCGACATTCCACCTCTGTGACCCATGACCTCCATGACCTCTGCCAGGTAAGGACCTCCTCATCTCCTAATATTTTGGGTTTTCTCCTAAACCCTAGATCCCCTTCTGGTTTAGGGTACGAAAATGGAGGGAAATTTTTTGGGGGAAAAATAGAGCCAAAATGAAGGAACTAATAGGTGAAGCATGGGTTCAGTTTAGTGGAGACACGAAATGACTAAATTAACCTTCAATTTAACGGCAGAATGGATGGAAGGTGTCAGATTTTGACGTTGGGGGGTACATTGGCGAAAAAAATTAGTTCGGTTCCTAAATTTTATAAAAAAAAGAATAGGGGGCAAATCGAAAATTAGGTACAAGTTTAGGGGGTATTTCACTAGTATACCCTATAATTTATGGAGAGAAAGATTCAAACTCAGATGCCAAGATGCGGACACATTACCATGATCCACTATTGCACCTAAAATTTAATTTGACGCTGATATTTTTTTAGAACAATTACAATAAATTTTATAAAAAAAATTACTTTCACGGTAGAAATTCAATTACTTGTGCTTGCGAGTGACTCTCAATTATTGATAGGGTGGATCTTCCTTGTCATGTGCTATAGCGTGTGTTATAAACACATGTTATGTTATAACTGGTCAGTGCTTGACATTCATCCTACCATGTGATAAGGAAATTCTCACCTGAGCTTTTCCTATCAAAGACATAAATTGTCTCTACAATAACCACTTGAAGAGTATTATCTTCCAATGGAAAGAAGAAATCTCAAGTTCGAATCCCCTCTCTTGTCAATTAGAGAAAAAAAAAATGCATTACCATTACTAGTCTAGTATTGTATTGTGGTATTAATACGACAATGGAACAAGAAATTCCCTTCTACGTATTTTTTTGAATCTTGCAGCAAACATTCTCTATAATCCATTCAATTTCCTCTGTTACACATCCTCTGTTCAAATTATGAAACTGGAACTGCAGTCAACAAAATAACATAATACAAAATGATTGGCTTTGTAATTTAGCTGGTGCATCCCTTTATAAGCGGGGATAAATAATAATAACAAGGGCTGAAGTTGAATCTAAGCAAAAACATATGTATTACTGCAGGCCAAGATGCTATTTCTATTCTACTGATCTGTAGTACTTTTAGTCTGCAAAAATGGGGCAACATAGCAATGCCCTCAAATTCAATCATGTCTATCCCAAAAACTTCTCTATCAGCACTGAAAATGCAGCAAAACCAGCACAACCAACACAGGCTGCTTGTGGACCGCCTAAAACAGCACAACAAGAAAATTGTAAGAACCTGAGACTTATATGCATCGAAGGAAATTTCACAGATAGCAGGACCATAATGAGAACAATTCCAACAAGGGTCAAATTCTTAACCACTCGTGCCGGTACTTGTATTTTTCACTCATCCTTTCACCCACGTTATACCACTTATCTTTCAGTGGGACTTAATAATTGAAAAAAATAAAACATGTACCAGGAGACAGGTAACGCAGTGCAACCTGCTCCGTTTGGATGAAGGAATTGCCAATTACATAGAATTCTAAAATGACGGAATTTAGATTTCCGTCATTTCAATTTCTAGCAATTGAAGATTTCAGTGTTTGGATTTATGCTTGTTGGATTTCGTAAATGACAGAAATTGAAAATTTCAATGTTTGGATATCTCATGTAAATTATAAATGACAGAAATTAAATATTTTGAAAGAAAAAAAAAACTGATAATCGACATAAAAGGTATTCCTCGAAGTATAAAATAACATATCGTTTAAGAATATCAATCTAATTTAAAACTAGTATTAAAACTTAAGACTATGACAACAGTGACTTTAGGCATCAGTAAACACAAAGATCACAAAACCCATTCAACACATTCATAAATTTAGTCAGAAACACCCAATTTTGATAGCCATTCAGAAACCATGGTAACCCTAAAATAGAAAAATATAAATTGAAGGAGAGAAAGGCTTGAAGACTAACCTTCAAACTTGATCCAGAGAGACGTGTAACCCAAGAAGAACTCATTCTCCTTACTTCTCTGGCTCACAGTTTTTTTATGATGCTTCTTACTTCTCTGGCTCGCAGCTTTTTTTATAAAGCGACAGGGTTTCATAGGTTTTATAGATCGACAAGGCCTCCAAACTTGGCGCTGTTTTTAAGTTTGGCGCTTTTTCTTTTTTTTTTCTTTTTTTTTTCATGAAAATTTTGACAGGGTTTCATAGGTTTTATAGATCGACAAGGCCTCCAAACTTGGCGCTGTTTTTAAGTTTGGCGCTTTTTCTTTTTTTTTTTCATGAAAATTTTGACGTTTTTTTTATTATTTAAATTTTGGCACAACGGAAAATATGAATTCCCACACTGTGGAAATTGTCAAATGACGCCTATTTTGGTGGAAATTAAACTCGGGAATTTGATGCCTCAATTTCCATGATTTTTTCCGCGCATCATTTAATAAATTTCGCACTTAAATTGCCAAATAAGGGAATTGTCAATTTCTCATCTTAAATTCCCGACTTTTAGCTAAATTCCGCGTTATTTTCCCTCATCCAAACGGAGGGTAAAAGTATGCATGGTGCTGTTTAATACTTGCAATTTGATCTATGCTTTGGAAACTTGAACATCCCCAACCCTGTTAGGATTTTGGCTCGTCAAATATGTCCTAGTTGGTTTAGGATTGTTTTAGGAAAGTTAGAGGTATACCGATTCTTGTCCTAGAGGGATTAGGAAAGAATTTCAGTTTTCCTTATTCAATTCAGGTTTGGATTTCTAGAAGTCTATTTGGTTTTGGAAAAGTGTAATTTCCTAATCCACTTGGGAATAGGAATTCAATCAGTCTTGGGACATGTAAGCCAACTCTATATCTATAAATAGGGTGCAGCAAGGCTTATTTTAGAAGAGGGAAAAACAGCCAGAGACAGCCAAGAGTTTTGAGATTAGTTCTAGGGTTTGCAAAAGTTCTATAATCTCTATTATTAATCAAAGGAGCGGTGATTTCTCTACCTAGAGAAGTCACAACTGGACGTAGGCAAAAGTTCTGCCTAACCAGTATAATTCTTGTGTGTGTCTAAGTTTTCTAATATTTGCTAGTTTAGTCTATTGCCGTTGGTTACATTAAAGAACAAGATCCAGCAGCGGGTTATTTAACAAACTCAACAAAATTTACAGGGAGTTCACCACTAGAAGCAACATTGAGACTTACTCAATGACTGCCCTCTATACCCTGTCCACGCCAGGACAAGGAAGTGTTCAACTAATTAAAGGTAACCAACACTCTAAATGGTTTCTGGTTTCCCATTTGCATCTTAAGGAGCGACAAAACAGGATTAAGAAGCTGAATTTGGTTATAGATATGAACTTCAGATTCCAACCATGATACCAGAGAAATTATAAAGGTATGCAACCTCTTTTTTTTAATTTATTGTAACTTATTATAAAATGTCTTTGCGCTCATAATCGCTAGAGTTTGCACTCATAATCGCTTGAGTTACAAGTACGACGAACTTAACGTCAACACCTTATTAGCTTAATGTTTGTGAATACGAAAATAAATAAAAATTGTATTTTTTCACCATCCGCTGCATCTTGAGCCAGTAAATGAGAATTGAGTTTGGGACTATGTTAACTTTTAATTTTAAGCAAATATCACAGCAGAATAGATTATGAACATTCAAATGTTGCTTATTTATTCACATACAGATTGCATGGAGGTATGGCTGGTACATGGTATTAAACACAATCCATTAACTATATCATTTAGGCTGCACGTCCTCGCCACATCTACAATAAGTAGGTTCTTCTTAAGTGTCATATCCTTCAGTTTCGTTTATGAAATAAATCCCTTATTCTTTAGGCTCTCAACAGCATCCTTGATGATTTGATCCATGGGAATGAATTCTAAACCCAAGTTCATTAGCTTCTTCGCGCCATTTTTTTCCCTCAGCAACCCGGGTTGGGTATCCTTCGGCAAACTGCACAATAATAAACGTATTAATAGCTTGAGCAATTTCAAAGCCATGTGTTCATGGAATGACTGTAAAAGGAGTGCTGGCAGTTAAAGAAGTTGCAATGAAGCATTTGATGTCTTGACAGTAATTATTGTAAAATAACAGATTTTCCTCATTAATTTTTGGAGAAGGATTTACAAGTACTTATAGTAAGCTTTAGCAATACAGTTACAGACTAATCCCTAAAATCACTCAACCTGTCTAACTAAATACAATCAATTAGAACCTTTGTGAGAACATAATTCAGTACAGTGAGCTGTAGCTGTGTTATGATGAGGTTGAGCTTGATCATCTGTTGTTTTGCTATCAGTTATAACATAGGGTATCAGTTTCACGATACTGCATATTTGACGTTCTGATGCTCATTGTTGTTATCGGGAAACCAAACTCCTAAACATAAGATATGCACATAGTTATGGCCCAAAAAAATATACATGCACATAGTTATGGCAAAAAAAATTATATATATATATATATGCACGCACATAGTTTCAGTTGCAAAACCACTTTATAGGAGTCTAAGGACTGGAATTTACCTCGGAACCTTGTACTTGGGGTAAAGTTCAGCTACCTTAGCCACGAAGTCACCATAATGTGATATAGCTTCAACGCACAGGTGCCTACCAGTGGCCGATTTGTTCTCATACAATAAAATGTGTGCAAGAGCTACATCTTTAAAATGCACAGATCCCATAAAGATGTTCTCGTATGTTTCAATGCAGCCTGCAGAAAAGATTGAAAAGGATATTGTCAATTCTTTTTCTTTTTCAGGTTGATCGATTTTCCTTGTTACTTCAGCCATGAAGCTTCTAGGGCCATTAACCTTCTGTCCAGTCCTCCGCTAACCAGGAGAAGAGATAAGGTGACATGGATAGACAATTTAAGGAAACCAAAAACCGACCCTTTAATGACATAAACTATCAAACTTGAAGAGAAACATATGCTAGCAGGAACTCTGCTTGGCTCCTTATCTGGACGAAGCCAGTCCTCTGTACTTGCAAATCACAGCTTCACACGTGTGCAAAGATAACTCATTAAATGCTCAAAAGAAAGAAATGTTTTTTAAAAAATTCTGCACACATTTGAAAGGGCGACTTGCAGGAAAGAAGGAGCCAAGTATTTGCTTGCTAGCAAAGAGGTGCAAAAGGATTCCTCTATTGCCACACACACTCATTCTCACACAATCCACCTTCTCCAAACTTGGGGACTAACTAGGCAAAAAACTTCAAACAAACTCAAGTATTATAAATGAAGAAATACTTCAAGATTTTAAATACCAAACTCAAACCTTTCTTTAGCAGAAATGTCTTTTCAGAAAATATATAATGTCCACCTGCTTCCTGGTTCATCTACCAACTACAGCCTCAATAAGAACTTGGTCACCTTAGTCTCATGTTACCAAATAAATGGGAAATGTTCTCTTACTATACAGATGTTATGTTATCAAACAAACTGTCAATCAAATGCAAAACTATGTCTGAATGTATGATTTCGATCGACAATTTGGCAACATAACATGGCAAACTATCAGGCAACAGAACAGGGTTAGTGAAGATGCAAAAACAAAGAGTGAAGCTGAATCTTTAGCTACACATGAACTTGAAAATTTTGAATTTTTGTTGGGCATGAGTATATGGCATAACATTTTGAAAAAAATTGACTTGGTTAGCCAAAAATTGCAATCTGGAGATATGCAAATTGATGTTGCAATACTACACTTGAAGGGGCTGGTCTCTTATTTTGTGGACTATAGGGAAAATGGGTTCACATTGGCCCTACTTTCTGCTAAAGAGATTGCATCAAAGATGGAAATTGACCCTGTATTTCCTGAAAAACGTCAAAGTCGAAGAAAAAAACAATTTGATGAAAATGACCATAAAGAGACATTTCAATCTGCTGAAGAATCTTTTAGGGTTAATTATTTTCTTGTTGTAGTTGATGCTGCAATTTCTTCTTTGAGGAGTAGGTTTGAACAATTAGAAATATTTGAAGGCATTTTTGGTTTTTTGTTTGATCCTAAGAATTTATTTCAAATGAATTATATTAGATTGCGTGAATGTTGTAGAAATCTTGAAGTTGCTTTAACACATGATAATGAATCTGATATTAATGCTGATGATTTGTTTTCTGAATTGGAAGTGTTACAAATGTATTTACCAAAAGAGACAAAGACAGCCATTGAAGTTCTTGAGTTTGTAAAAGTTGTGGATTGTTTTCCAAATGTCTCCATTGCTTATAGAATTATACTGACTCTGCCAGTAACTGTGGCATCTGCAGAAAGAAGTTTTTCAAAATTAAAATTAATAAAATCTTATTTGCGATCAACTATGTCACAAGAAAGGTTAAATGGATTGGCAATCTTATGTATTGAAAAGAATATGTTGGAAAATATTGATTTTGAAGAGGTTATTGATGATTTTGCTTCTCAAAATGCTAGAAGATCAAGTATTTTTCAATGATTGTTTGTATTTTTAATGTTACTGCTTTTGATTTTTGATTTGTAGATGATGAAGTGGAAGTCAAAGGAGCTTTTTGTGTACAATTGAGCCGCTTGAGAATTAAGCCCTATGGAAGAGCCACTTAAAGAACTTTTGTTTTATTTTGCTGAAATTTTAGAAGCTCTATGACCCTAAATATGATTTTTGTTGTTTATGGATCATTTACTTTTGGTTTTTCTTTTGTTAGTTGAATGAAATTATTCTATTTAAGAAGCTTAGTTGTTTTCTGGGATTTTGCTCCGTATTCATAAAAAGAAAAAGGAAAAGGAATGAGCAAATTAAAAAAAAAAATTATATACTAAGGGCCTCGTTTAATTTTTGACCATGGGCCACCAAAATGTCAGGGCCGGCCCTGCATACGACTTCACCTGTCTTCGACATATTATCCTAGAGGAGAGCTTTGCTTGGTTACAGTTACTTCAGCTACTTGTTGCTGGTGACCAGTTGGATTTGGGCCACGTCGGAGAACCTTCTAATACAAGCCCAAAAGAACTTCGATGCCCATGTCTAATATTTTATTTTTTATTTTGAAGAATCGATAATATTCTAAATTACTCTAATTTATGGAGAGAAAGATTCAAACTCGGATGCCAAGAGGCGGACACATTATCATGATCCACTATTGCGCCTAAAATTTAATTTGATGTTGATATTTTTTCAGAATAATTACAATAAATTTAAATAAAAAAAATTACTTTCACGGTAGAAAGTCAATTACTTGTGCATGCAAGTGACTCTCAATTATTGATAGGGTGGATCTTCCTTGTCACGTGCTATACTATAGTGTGTTATAAACACATGTTATGTTATAACTAGTCAGTGCTTGACATTCATCCTACCATGTGATAAGGAAATTCTCACCCGAGCTTTTCCTATCAAAGACATAAATTGTCTCTACAATAACCACTTATAGAGTATTATCTTCCAATGGAAAGAAGAAATCTCAAGTTTGAATCCCCTCTCTCGTCAATCAGAGAAAAAAATTTCATTACGATTACCAGTGTAGTATTGTATTATGGTATTAATACAACAATGGAACTAGAAATTCCCTTCTACGTATTTATTTGAATCTTGCAGCAAACATTCTCTATAATCCATTCAATTTCCTCAGTTACATATCCTCTATTCAAATTATGAAACTGGAACTGCAGTCAACAGAATAACATAATACAAAATGATTGGCTTTGTAATTTAGCTGGTACATCCCTTTATAAACGGGGATAAATAATAATAACAAGGGCTGAAGTTGAATCTAAGCAAAAACATCTGTATTACTGCAGGCCAAGATGCTATTTCTCTTCTACTGATCTGTCGTACTTTCAGTCTGCAAAAATGGGGCAACATAGCAATGCCCTCAAATTCAATCATGTCTATCCAAAAACTTCTCTATCAGCACTGAAAATGCAGCAAAACCAGCACAACCAACACAGGCTGCTTGTGGACCGCCTAAAACAGCACAACAAGAAAATTGTAAGAACCTGAGACTTATATGCATCGAAGGAAATTTCACAGATAGCAGGACCATAATGAGAACAATTCCAACAAGGGTCAAATTCTTAACCTCTTGGGCCGGTATTTTTTACTCATCCTTTCACCCATGTTATACCACTTATCTTTCAGTGAGACTTAATAATTGAAAAAAATAAATACGTACCAGGAGACAGGTAACACAGTGCAACCAAAAAGTATGCATGATGCTGTTTAATACTGGCAATTTGATCTATGCTTCGGAAACTTGAACATCCCCAACCCAACAAAATTTACAGGGAGTTCACCATAAGAAGCAACATTAAGACTTACTCAATGATTGCCCTCTATACCCTGTCCACGCCAGGACAAGGAAGTGTTCAACTAATTAAAGGTAGCCAACACTCTAAATGGTTTCTGGTTTCCTATTTGCATCTTAAGGAGTGACAAAACATGATTAAGAAGCTGAATTTGGTTATAGATGTGAACTTCAGATTCTAACTATGATACCAGAGAAATTATAAAGGTATGCAACCTCTTCTTTTTAAATTATTGTAACTTATTATAAAATGGTTAAACAACAAAGGATCCATCTATAATGTATGACATTATTTAACTACTAGAATCCCTTGTAAATAAACATGATGACTAATGAATGAATTCCGTGAACAGAAGCAATCATGTAGCTTTTGAAAGTAAATGTTAAACATCAGCTCAATATTGATTGGGGAGCGGACTGTGGGACCATTTGGGGGAGGGGGGGAGGGGGGGAGTATCTGCGTTTGACTGATAGAGCTAGAACTAGGCACTAACCCCTTAGGCATCTCCAGCCAGATAATTGATGTATTCAATGGCATAAGTCTCATCCGTTTATGTTTGAAGATGTTAAATTTTTTACAAACACCATTCATCAGCTCTGTCAAAATAGCAGTTTACTTGTCTTCCCCATCCCTACATCTAAATGAAATCAGTTCAGACCAGCAGCTCAAATTAACGTTCTGCCAAAGAAATGATGGGACTAATCAATTTCACCTTTCAAAGGAGAAGAAAGGGAAAGAAAGTGTGCAGGGAGAATCATATGGTGATATGCCTGAATGCAGAGTTGACAATAATCATTATATAGACAACGAAATTCCTTGGATTTATGGACTTCATCTGAAGTGTAAGATCTGTATATGTCGGTTTGAAGTTTTGTACAACAACATATCACAAATTCATATTACACTTTCAACGAAGACAAAGGGTTAACAGATCAGGGAAAAGGTTACCTTTTGCTGACAGTGCACCTCCAGTTACACATCCAGCAACAACTGTATTTGTTGTGTCATGTTTAGCTCGTGCCTGAAACAATAACGCAGAATTAGCCCCCATAGCAAAGATATTAAACCTCATCAATCACAAACAAATTAAGAGTATGAATTTTCACATATTCGGCAATACCTTTTCAACAACACACTCAGCAGCTGAGAAAACAAACCCCATAACTGCAAATGCTCTTGCAGAACTCCAACTCCTCCGGCCCATCTGCTTTGCTTGGTATATGAACTGCTGTCTGCCAGTCATTTCGTCTTGCATTAGAGGAGTGTCTAACGCCCCAAGAAGCAAGCCCATCATCAATCCAAGCCCACCACCTACAGAATTCCAACAACATTCAAAGAATTAGCCATCAGTATAATTAGATTTCAAGATCCTAATAGCCTAGATACAGCCACATCTACAACAACATACTTATGCATTTATACCATTGGTTGCTTAAGAAATAACATGGCAAATAAAACAGAATAAATTTCCAGTGACACCTGCTATTAAGTTCTGTACAAATATATGCAAAACTTCAAAGTAATTGTGTTTCACAGCCAAAATCAAACTACAACGCCAATGTAATGACCTTGTGGTAGAGTTCGCTAAATTGAGCAAACCCCAACACTCAACTCAAATGCAGATATATGAATGCGAGGTGATGAAATCAATGAAATTTAGTTTCTTTTTCTTTTCCTTTCATAAATACAACCCCATGAATTAACAAACTTGTGAACGACTAAATCTAGCACAAGAACAAGGCTACACAGAGGTGACTTTTACACATTCTGAAACCCACAACAATCTAATTCGAGACAAGAGACAAAAAAGAACATAACTTTCCCACGTTTTCTCAGAAAACAAACATAGAATGAGGGGAAAAACTCAAACCCATGTGAGAAAATCCAAAAAATGAGGGAAAGGAAAGAACTTTAGCCATACCCATAACTCCACTAACAACACTACGCACAGCACAGTTGTTCCAAATGTCTTGGCCTCGAATCTCCTCCACCGAAGGCAACCGTATAGGCTCAATTGGAGGCTTCTCTACTTCTCTTGAGACTGTAGATTCATTTTCCGTATTCGTGGCCATAGCTGTAGCTTGAATTAGCAGCCAAATCAACGAAAGCCCATATACTATTCTGTTAAAGAGAGGGTGAGGAACGCAGATGTGGATCAGTTAAAAAGGGTTTGAAGCTTCGCCGCCATAGAAGTGAGTCTCTGAAACCAGTGTAGGAAGAAAATATAACCTTGGAGTTGGTGACGAGGCTTGGGGCGCAAGAGCCTTGGGGAGCAATTTACCCGCGTGCCGTGTCTTCTTTGCAAAACGAGTTGGCTTCCTTCTAAATTTTAATGGACGAACCTACTTGCTATTTCTCCTTTTGTTTTTAGCTCTTTTTAGTTCTTTTTTACTTTCCTTCTTTAACTTTCAGGACTAAGACCATGTCCACCTCAAAAGGCTAAGGCAAGGGTTAAGAGCACCTCCACCCATGTAGGCTAAGGCAAGGCTAAAGTAAGACAAGGGCTGTCACTATTCACATGAATAGTGTCAGCCTTGCCTTAGTTGGTTCCACCCTTGGAAGGCTAGGGCAAGGGCAAGAAAAAAAAAAGATTATGCAACAAAATATAAACAATTTAGAAAGTGAATAAAATTGTTATGTATTTATAGGGAAAATATCTATAATTTTTTTGGTATTTAAAAAAAAAAAATTGAAATTTTTTTGGATTTTTTTGAATTTTTTTTACTCGCTGACGTCAGCGCCTTCGGGCTGCAGCCCAGGCAAGATCTGCCCGTGGGCTTGCCCAATTCGATGGGACCCACCATTTGCCCGGGCCATTTTTCTTCCGCTGGAGCTGCCTTGGGCTGCCTTGGGGGGCCTTTTGCCTAGTCTTGGGTAAAGGCTGGAGGTGCTCTAAAGGCAAGGCAAGAGCTGCTACTATTCATGTGAATAGTGGCAGCCTTGCCTTTTTTTGTTCCACCCCAAAAGGCAAGGGCAAGGGCAAATACTATTCATTGTACTTTATTTCCTCTTTTTTTTTTATACTTTAAACCATTAATTTTGGTTGCCACGTGTCCATAATTTTTAAACTTTGTTTGCATTTGCAAAAGGCTAGGGCAAGGGCAAGAAAAAAAAAAGAATATGCAACAAAATATAAACAATTTAGAAATGCATGAAATAAAATGATTATGCAAGAAAAAAATAAATATGGAAGAAAATATAAACAACTTACAAATGTAAGAAAAAAAATGATTGCATTTTACAAATATTGGAAGGAGAAGAGTTTGTATGAGGATTTGGTGTGGAAAGTGAATAAAATTGTTGTGTATTTATAGGGAAAACATCCATAATTTTTTAGAATTTTTTTCGATTAATTTTTTTTTTTTTTTGCTCGCTGACGTCAGCGCCCTCGGGCTGAAGCCCAGGCAAGATCTGCCCTTGGGCTTGCTCGGGCTAGTGGGACCCAGGGCTTGCCCGGGCTGATTTTCCTGTGCTGGAGGTCCATTTTGAGCTGGTGGGGCCTGTTGCCCTGGCAAAATGGGCTGCGGTGGACATGCTCTAACGACCCCTTGAAGTTTAGGTGCCTTGTGAAAATGGGCCTTAAAATTTCAATTTCATCAATTTTATAATTTTTTTAACAAATATTATAAAATTAAAAAAATTAAAAAAAATTAAAGAAAAAAAAACCTGCACCAGCAACCCCCTCTGTCCCCCAACCCCATAGCTTTCGCCATCGACCCCCTCGGACCTTGACCCAACCCCACAAAAGGAAGAAGGCCAAGCAATCTGACTGACCTAATAGAGCTCCAAATTTTCTCATCAACCTTAGACAAATCCATACCACAAAACATAAGGAAGAAGACAAGTGTTCAATAGACTTCAACTTAATAAGAAAATAAAGGTTCTGGCCTAGTAGAAAAGGGTCTTGACTTGCAGATAAGAGATCTCAAGGCATGTTTACGTATCAGTAATGGAGAAAGTAAGGAATCATAGAATTTAGGAATCGGGGAACTACTGAATCGGTATGGAAAGAATCATTCCCATTAAGCTGTGTACTAAACATATGGAATTAGCAAAAGAATGGGGTTGATTCCCATTGTTATTGTTTACCAATTTTCATATCAGAATCCAAATTAATTTGATTACTAAAATGCCCTGCACATTTTCACCACAACACATATATAATTCTCAAATTGGTTAAGGAGACCAAACTAATCTGGTAGCAAACTAGTAAGACGGTGTAAACATGAGGAATCAATATGTTGAACAAGATGAACAGCAAGAGGCCAGTGCAATGATAATGTTAATAACACCTTTGTCAAGAGCCAATTTCAAACGAAAAAATAAACTCCAATAAATATATTCTTTCACCTATGTAACTAGTAAACAATCAAATAGTCAAGGTATTTTTGGAAGTTATTAAGAGAAAACATGAATGGGAATCGTATCAACTACTCCCCCTTAGGTGATCTGATATCCAATTTTGAGGGGATGTGATTACGGATTTTGAGGTGGGGCCCACTTATTTTTTCATTCCTGATTTCAAGTAAATGCAGGGGAAGTCAGGAATGGAAATCATTCCCTTTCCTCCCATACCCATTACTGATATGTAAACATGCCAGGTTTGAACCCATAACATCTTGGTTGTGTGTATAAAAAATCTCGTCTCCTCTAGTTTAGACTATTGTTTGTACTTTAAAAAAAGGATTAAAAAAACAATTTACAAATGGATGTGGCTAAAAATGGGATGCTACTATTCTACCCTCCCAATATGTTCCACATCCAATCAGGTCCGTCCACGTTCCATCCCAGTCTGAGCACGACCACACGGAATCCTCGCTCTTTTCCTTCCCCGAACCCTAAAAACCCCCTCTTTATTTCATACACCCATATAAATTTTAGCCTCTCCGCCGCTTCGTCCCTGTCTTCTTCAGCATCGCACCTCCTCCTCATTCCCACCTAGGGTTTCTGCATCTGCCTCTGCTAAAATGGTACACCCTCTTCCTTCTATCTCTCTCTGAAGATCTCTGTTGTGTGTATAACTGTGGGTTTATGCTTCGTGTTACAGGCTAGAGGATTGAAGAAGCATCTGAAGAGGCTCAATGCCCCAAAGCATTGGATGCTCGACAAGCTTGGGGGTGCTTTTGTAAGTAAACCCTCCCTCCCCAAATGAATAAAGAAGAAAAGTTTCATTTTTGGTCTCATTTTGATTTGGGTTTAACGTAATTTTTTGCTTCAAATCTTTGTTTAGGCTCCCAAGCCATCATCTGGGCCTCACAAATCTAGGGAATGCCTTCCACTGATCCTCATCCTGAGGAACAGGTTGAAGTATGCTCTCACATACCGTGAGGTCGTTTCCATTCTCATGCAGCGTCATATTTTGGTTGATGGCAAGGTTAGGACCGATAAGACCTACCCTTCTGGATTCATGGGTAAGTTCAACATTTTCACTAATTTAGTACGATTTTGTTACTTTGTAGATTCATTTTTCTATAATATTTAGTGTTTGAGTAGAACTATAACATGAAACAAGTGTTATCCTTGGAAATGTGCTGAAAGTTTTGTTATGTTGTTATATCTGCAGATGTTGTTTCCATCCCAAAAACAAATGAGAATTTCCGTCTGCTTTATGACACCAAGGGTCGGTTCCGGCTCCACTCAATTAGAGATGAGGAGTCTAAGGTTGGTCCTTGTATATCATCTCTCTTTAGTTTTGCGGAAATTTAATTTTGTTCTAACTTATTTAATATATATAGCCATTGTATATCAGTTTTATTAACAAATCTACCCAACATGTTTTATCTGTGAAATTGGTTTAATAGCTAAAGTGTAGAAATATACTTTTGTCAAAGAAAAATATGTTACAGTCATCTTATTTGGAAGAAAATATCAGAGATTCTACTTGGAAGAAACGCTAATATGACCATGGAAGTATTCATGTTAGTCTAACTAGTTGTCTGGAGGGCGTTAGTTTTGTATTTCTAGTGATAGATTAAATTGCCGCCAATTGTATTGATCAGGTGCATTGGTGTTCCTGCTAACGAGTGGTACAAATAAGAAGTCTATGAGCTGCAACACTATGTTTGTTGTCTTTCTGTTAGTTGTTTCTTGTATTTAGTTTCACTTAGCTTTATGTTCATTATGCTTTTGCAATATTTATGATGTCAGTGACTTGAAGTACTTTCTGAAATGTATTTTGTTCTGTTTTATCTTATATTATTGGTTAGATAATTAACTATATCTGACTCCGCAATATGATTTTCCTGAGCAGTTCAAGCTATGCAAGGTTCGGTCAGTGCAGTTTGGGCAGAAGGGCATCCCCTATATTAACACTTATGATGGGAGAACTATTCGCTACCCTGACCCCCTCATCAAGGCCAATGACACTATCAAGCTGGACTTGGAGACAAACAAGATCACCGACTTCATTAAGTTTGATGTTGGAAATGTTGTCATGGTGACTGGTGGAAGAAACAGAGGTCGTGTTGGAGTCATTAAGAACAGGGAGAAGCATAAGGGAAGCTTTGAGACCATCCACGTTCAGGATGCCACTGGTCACGAGTTTGCTACTCGGCTTGGTAATGTGTTCACCATTGGCAAGGGTACAAAGCCTTGGGTGTCTCTTCCCAAGGGCAAAGGTATCAAGCTAACCATCCTTGAAGAGGCAAAGAAGCGACAAGCAGCCGCCCAAACAGCTGCTACTGCTTAAACAAAAGGGTGGCAACTATAGATTGTTGTTCCTATAGTTTTAGATGGTACTTAGTTGAATCAGTTAAGCAGTTTGACTCTTTTCAGCTTATGCTCAGAGGATTCTATTTTCTTTCATTTTGCGGCCCTGCTTTGTGGATTATTTAAGTTGCAATACTGGCTTGAATGTTGTTATGTTTTGTGCTGGAATGAGATATGTATCGGACCAATTTTAATTGACTTGCTGCTTATGTTATTCGGATGTTTTTGGCTTTTCAATTTTACTTGTTTTTAGCTTTTATTTTCTCATATTCACTGAAACAATTTTTCTGATGCACCAAAGCTCCATCCACACTTATTTCATCCTCCTCCATAAAAAATAATAATCATCTAGCCAACATTTATTTATTTATTTCATTTAAAATTATAGTCCCTGTACTTCTGAACTTATTTTAGAAGTAGGAAGTTAGAATTTGCTGCTAATATTGTGATTGTCTGGCTAATGAAAAGGAAAAATGGAAGACATTAAATTATGAATTTTTTTAAAAAAATTTCAATGACCTGGGTAACTCAATTCTAAGATAATTTTAATTATCTACACTGGATGGTGTGATAATAACATTATTTATTTCTTCAAATGCTAATAAAAGGCTATTGAAAATGAGAGTAGAATATAAAGAACTCTGAATTGCAGAAGAAGTGAAAGTAAACTTTGAGAGAGATATGTAAAAAGTTAACTATGGTTATTTCTATGGATTTGTTAAGTACTAAAAATTGTGGTGATAATACACCTCGAGTTAAATTGTGAGCAAAAATATTTCCAAAAAGGTAATAGAAAAAAGTTAATTACAGGGAAATATAAAAAAGGTAAAAGCAATGAATTAAGCCAAAAAGATAATTCCGGTGCCAGGAGTTGAACCTGGTATCTCAACCATAGTTGATTTAATGAGCTACACTGGATGGTATTGCTAATTAGGATATACTAATCTATTTATATCTTGATCAACAAGGAAAAAAAATTAAAAAAGAAAAAAGTAGCAAATAGAGTTTAGATTAGAACGTTTGCGATGCATATTTCTTTGGCTGGCACAATAGTAGCTAGGAACTGCATATACGATAACGAAACCATCTCCTAGATAGTTAATTAATATTCACTACGCTTACATTCACCTTGCTGATAGTTGTAGCAGCCACTTTCCCCAAAATTTAGTTCCAATTTTACCTGCAAATCCTTACACTCATTGACCTCCTCCTCAACCAAACATCTTTCACCGTCAAATGTTTAAGTTACTCTTTCAACGATAACATTTAAAATTTCACACTTTCATATAAAATGACACATAGTCTTCAATTTATTTAAAGAGGTCATAAACTTAGAATCTTACTCTAATCCTCTATCGATTCGTGACTTAATCACACAAGTCGCTTTTAAACCGTCAATGTTTTTTTTTTCCATAGGAGCGGTTATAGTAGTGTATGGCTATGCTTAAGGTTGGCTTAAGCATTTTGAATTACTGCCAAGTGTATTTTATTTTGGAGCAGCATTTGGTATGTGTTTGATTTTCTCCTTTTTATAAGAGAGAGAAAAAAAGTTCATAACAATACGACGGTGGCCCACTTAAGATAGGTTGCTTAATTAGCAACTTCACTTATTAATCCTGTGTTTTATGGAAATGCATGAGACCCATAATAGAAATAGAACCACTAACAAAACAATTAAAAAAACTCAGGCAGCATTTTTGTCTAATAGCAGATTAATCATCAAACCAAAACAAAGATCCAGCCTACACCCTAACTTGGAAAAATTTCTAGCTCAATATTTGAACAATTACCACCTAAAAAAAACATCCCTTCAGTAAACAGAATTTAAGAATACAAAGAGAACATTAAGAGCATTTGGCATAAAACGAAGAAACTATGTCTCATATTCTTGTTCTTTGTTATGCAATATCATCGAGGAGCATCTGATCAAAGTGCCAAACACCTGCAAAACAAAACCGCTTTTCAGAATTCACCAAAAATTGTTTTACATATTTTAACATGTTCTCTCAGTTGTGTTGTCAGCCATTACCATGTCCTGCGCCTATCCTTCTCAACTGAGCTACATACTCTGAGATTTTCTTTATAGCTTCCACCTGAAATGACCCAAATGCAGTATTTTTCAGTTTTTGTCAAAATCTAACCAAGAATGAAAATGTACCAAAAAGAGCATGAAAAGTTGCATACCTGCTCAGTCAAGAACTCACTTTCCACATAATCCGCTAAATGCACATCATTGTTTTCATTGGCCATCTGTAATATCATGAATTCTATATTTCAGAAGACAATACTATATTTAACCAAGTGTCTCATACAATACTAGTATGAAAAGCTGTGATCATACGAGCCGATTCGGGACAAAATATGTACTTCGTTTTCAAAAACGGAATAAATATATAGATTTTTAAAACCGCAATCAAGAAACAGAAAAGCTAGCCATTTACTCTGTGTAATTTTAGAAGTTTCTCATTGTTCAACTTTTCCAAGGCCAGCGCAAGCTCCATTGCTGAATAAAAAAGGTGCAAACATAATAAGTGATAAAATTGAATGCCACAAGAACAGTAAGTAGCAGAAAGTATCATACGACTTGCTAAATTTTAAAATTAAATCTGAACATCAATGAGTTGCATTTGTCTCTAATATGATAAAGAACTTACCATGCAATGCCTCACCCTTTTCAGCATGATCAAACTCTGAGAAGGGCATTAGCATGGACTGCAGCTTAACTTTTCCTCCGCGTTTGTTCTGGTACATCAGAAAAGGAAAAAAAAAAAAAAAAAGATTTAGAGATCAAAATTCATAACAAAATGAGTTTGGAAACTCAAAAGGAGAATGTATGAAATGATATATATTGCAGACACCTGGTAGTCCATAAGCATTTCGGCATGCTGCCTTTCTTCTTCACTTGATTCTTTGAAAAACCTGTGTGTTATTGGTATCATGAACTTAAGCAATGAATTCAATCAATCAAAATATATCACTAGAATTAGGAAGAAAAAGAAAATTAAGGGTGAAAAAGAAATTACTTGGCAAGGCCCTTGAGAGCAACATTGTCTCTGTCAAAGTAGGCATACATGGCGTGGTACACATAGGAGACATTGTATTCCACACTAATTCAGAAAATAAAAGTTTGGTATCAAATTGGTCAGAACTTTAAAACAGAAGCAAGCAAGTAGAAGTTTAAAGAAGAAAAAAATGAAATCATATTTGGGTATTTCTTGTTTTCTTTGCATTATTCTGTCCAATAACCAAAACCAAACAAAAGCAGAATTGACATAAACTCTACATAAATAAAACCCAGAACCAAGAAAAGATCAAAACTTTATATTGATTGGCATACAAGAAAGCATCAATCTTTTAGGAAAAGAACAATTCTAGTGAACATGAAGAATGGAAAAAGACCGTAAAGTTGAAGACTTTGGGGTTAATTATAAAAATGTGGACATGGGAGACTGAGAAACTTACTTGATCTGCTCATTGATGGCAGCTTCAGATTGGTCAGAGTACTTCTGGCGAGCAAGCGAAGCATGAGGGGCAGTGGGGACTAGAAGGAGCTCCTTCTTGACCTCCTCAAAGGGCTCGAACACTGCCTCCATGGTGGCTCTGTTATTAGCTTCATTTTTGGCAAATATTACCAACCGGCCTGAACTCACATTGCCATTTTTGCGACCACCCACATTGAGAAAACTGTTGCTCTTTGAGGGTCTAGCTAAAGCTTGACCATCAAGGCTTGATTTTTGTGGGGTTACAGATGAAGAAGAAGGGCTCAAAGTTAAAGACATTGTGCGCAGAGAGAGAGAGAGAGGTTGAAAGGTGTTGACGAAGAAGGTGGTGGCACGGTGGAAATTTGGAGGTCCGGGTCAGGGATATTAGGTAGACGGGCAGGAGAGTCGTGGCTGTTGATGATGTCCCTCGTGGACGGTTGTGATTGCTTTAGGGGATGATCGCGTGACGGGCCGCGGTCCCCGTGAAAAAGGCGGCTGTACAAGCGTTTCTTCTAACGGTTTGGCCCGTGATTTTTGTATCGATATCTCCTGATTTATTGGAATATTTCCCTCTTTGTTTCCTCCTTTTTAATCCTTAATCAATAATTCAAATAGTTATATCACCTTTTCGTTCTAAGAAAACCATTAAATATTTCTTTTTTAAACCTCGAATGTTATCTAACATTTCAAAATTTATTTTTGAACACAATAGGAAGTCTAAACTACAATAGGGAGGAAGTTTCTCACACACATTATCAAGGTACTATTAAAGTTCGAACTTGAGACTATTGATCTGCAAGTTAGAGTCATTTTATAATCGACTAGCCCCTGTTGCCTTCAAAACTTTTAACTTAAACTTCTTCTTGGATGCTTATTTTTATAATTTACAATTTGCTTTTTATAAAAAATTGGTGAGATTAATATTTTGTTTATTTTCTTTTATTTTCTTCAAACTTCAATTTTTTTTTAAACATATTAGAATTTTAAAAAGATATTAAAGGTTTATCAAAAAGATATTTCTTTTTAACAGATTGTAATACTTATCAACGTTTGTCAATAGATTTTTTTGTTTGTTTATTTTATCATTATCTATTAAGAATTTTTATTGGATGTAGACTCTTATTTCCTTTTATTTTAGAATTATTTTATTTTAAATAAGGATAATTTTCAGTTATTTGAAAAATTAAGACTCGCAATATATGAAGTATGACTATTACTTGGACATGAACTAGCTATTATCTAGTGGTATTCTCTTTGCTTTGCTGAAAGATATTCCAATTCGAATTTTTCCCTCTTCAAGGTAAAAATAAATACTCCGAAAATAGCATTTTTAATCGTGGAAATAACATCTTTTCATTATAGAATTCAAGATCAACAATGACACGACAATATTTTAACGTAAAAATGATCTCTAAATCAGCATTTTGCACACTCAAAAGTCAAAACAAAAAGAAAAAAAAGTCCCATTCCATTTTCGAATGGGTCTTAAAAATGGACCACCAATTCTTTCCCTCCATATGGACGCATTCGAGACGCATGGATCTGGCCAATGGGCCTTTCTTCTACCTTTCGAACATGTCTGGCTGGCTCCAAATTATTCTCCATCAAACAAACAGACAACACTAGCTGCCAAAACCCCCAACCAAATTCGCATGCCCTTATTAATTTTTCAGCATCAAGCTTCAGCCTTTAACAAGTAAAAGCAAAACCCAGAAATGCCTCCAAATCTCTGCACTGTCTTCGTCTTCCTTCTGGCGACGATGGCCTATGGCGGCGGAGCCATAGGCGTGAACTGGGGCACGACGGCCTCGCACCCATTACCGCCGACCAAGGTGGTGGAGCTGTTGAAGTCCAACAATGTGACCAAGGTCAAGCTACTCGACGCCGACCCAGGTGTCCTAGAAGCGCTTTCTGGGTCCAATCTTGATGTCACTGTGGGTATTCCTAATGCCTTGCTTAGAACCTTGAACTCTTCTAAGAAGGCTGCTGAGAGTTGGGTTCATGACAATGTCACTCGCTACGTCTCCAATGGCGGCAGTGGCGTTAAAATTGAGTAAGTTCTTTGCCTCTTTCTGATGGGTTTTTGAATTAGATGCTTCATTTTGATCTTGGGCCATGGATAGTGTGTTTACTATCACCGTAATTGATTATTATTAATGCCCAGTTGCTCAAGTACATTTATTTCTGTGTTAAACATTAGAAAGAATGTATCTTTTTGAAGCTTTTATTTGCTTTGTGCTGCAACTTCTGAGAACATAAGAGGTAAAAAATTCGTATTTGTCAATCAAACTTTCGTTGCTCTTGGAGCTGGGACTTCTGCGCTATTGGGCTCAGTTTACTTTCTTTTCTATGAAAACTATTGGGCTCAGTTTACTTTCTTTTCTAGGAAAACAACCTTAAACAGGCGGAGGCCATGACGAAATATTCGTCTTGATGTTTTTGAGAGTACATGCGTAAACCTTGTGTCATGGTTTATCTTTGGTGTCAAGTGAACTAATTCTGGTTGGGGGTTCCTTAAGAATAAAGAAGAATATAATTTAATTTATGTAGCGAATTTGAAGATACTTTTTGTGTTTTTCATGGTGGAAGCATGAAAATACCAGGTGTTGGTATTTGTGTCTGAATGCTAGCTAGCAGCGGAAATCCGCTGATGGCTACAGGAGTTGAACTCTTCGAATTTGATCGGGGCTTGATTTTTTGGCAAGTAAACCAATAAAGCAATACATTTTTTAGGACATGAGCTATGCCTAGAGCAAGATGAAACTTTTCTACGTGTAATAAACTTTAGAGAGGAGCCTGTTGCCTGTGATCTTACGGGAAAGCTACTTACAAGAAAAAATTAAGCAGGAACTGGGCTTAATTGCATTAGGACTGGAAACACTCTAAAGTGAGTCTTTTTTGTTTACAGAAGAAGAAAGCTTTGCAGGATATGGCATATGCTCTCTTTCTCCGTTTTAGGTTTAGTCAGCAATGCAAGGACAAAGTGACAAATAAACTTTTGTATCAGGGATTTCATGGGTCATTACTGTTTAGCCTCTTAAAGCAACTACTGAACATTTGTTTTTTAATCTAATTGGAGTCAAATGGAATTTGCTCATTCACAATATTGTCGTTTTTGTTAAGTATATTCTGGTCGCTAACTAGACTATTTTTCAGGTATGTTGCTGTTGGAGATGAGCCATTTCTCCAGACTTATGGTGAGCAATTTCATACCTTTGTCATTGGAGCAGCAATGAATATCCATATAGCTTTGGCCCGAGCGAAATTGGAGAGCAAGGTGAAAGTAGTTGTTCCTTGCAGTTTTGATTCCTTCCTGTCAGAGTCTGGCCATCCTTCGAAAGGACACTTTCGGCCCGACCTCAATAGAACCATGATTGAACTCCTCACGTTTCTCAGCAAGCACAGTTCACCATTCTTTGCGACCATTTCTCCGTTCTTAAGTCTCCACCAGAACAAAAACATTTCCCTCGACTTCGCTCTGTTTAAAGCCAATGCAAAACCTCATAATGACAGCCGCAGAACATACAAAAACAGCTTTGACTTGAGCTACGACATCTTGGTTACTGCATTGTCAACAGTAGGATTTCCTAAAATGGAAATTGTTGTGTCGCAGATTGGTTGGCCTACCGATGGAGCAGCAAACGCAACCTCATCAACTGCAGAGACCTTCATGAAAGGCCTGATGGAGCACCTTCATAGCAAATCGGGGACCCCACTTAGACCTCGGGATCCTCCAGCTGAAACATACATTTTTAGCCTCTTAGATGAGGATCAAAGAAGCATAAGCACTGGGAATTATGAAAGACATTGGGGTGTGTTCACTTTTGATGGTCAAGCCAAGTACCATTTTGACTTTATCCAAGGTTCGAAAAACCTCGTGGATGCGCAGAATGTTGAGTACCTTCCTTCAAAGTGGTGTGTAGTGAACAACAATAAGGACTTATCCAATGTAACTGCAAGTTCTTTAGAGGCATGTTCACTTGCTGATTGCACTGCACTGTCTCCTGGTGGGTCTTGTTCCAATATCAGTTGGCCTGGAAATATATCGTATGCGTTTAATAGCTACTATCAGCAGCATAATCAGAGTGCAGATAGCTGTAACTTTGGGGGCTTGGGTTTAATCACAACCGTTGATCCGTCAGTGGATAATTGCAGGTTTTCTGTTCAACTTCGCACTTCTCTTTCAGATTTCCTTTATCCGGCCTATCTTTCCCAGTGGATGACCTTACTAGTCACAACCATTTTGTTATCCTTAACCATATTTACGTAGAAAATAGATTCCGAGGAAATTTTGTGTAGAAAATAGATATCCGAGGAGATTTTTTGCTGCTGTGTTCCATTGTTGCCGGTGTTTGTTGTTGTAGCCTGTGAGAGGTTTGATTACTTGTTGAAGTGCTTACTCTATGAGCAGACATGGGCTTAGCCAAGTTGGCTAGAGCGGATGTGCTCCCCACTCTGCACCTGAGTTTGAATCCCACTCCCCGTGGTGGTGATTAGATTACAGTAGAATATTATTTGTATCAAGTGCTTATTCTGTGAAATTGTAAGATGACAAAAGAAGGGTGTTTGGAAATCAAAATGACTTCGAGGCTCTATATTGTTTCTTGTTATGTGCTGTGTACGGTGTAGGTGTGAGTATTTAACAGATTGGTAAGGAAAAAAATAAGAGCAATGTTGGGGCCATTCCCTTTAGCTCATCCCGGATTGCATCGTTGTTTTCCTAAGTGTGATCATGCCCATGGACTCATTCAGGTGTCGAGTTTGATCTCAAAAGGCTTTCATGCAAAGTTAAGGAAAGCTACACCTTATATAGACAGTCACTTACATAAGTAAGTGGTGTGTGGCCTTGTGGTGAGAGGTGGTGGTTAGCGTTCGACCTTTAGCATTGTGTCACACTTCTTACCATTTTATTGTTATCATCCCTATTTATTTAGGAATAAGTAGACCATTCCTAGATGCAGGGCAATTGTATTTGATCCACAGTTCCTAACAAAATGCACTCATATTTTTGTGTTTTACATTATTAACTTGAATAATTGATTAAACAATTTCTTATCTGAATGTGCAATTCAAATTGACGAGTACTTATAGTGTGGTTCTCGAGTGTGGCCATACTATATAACTCGTGCACGTATAGAGGGAGTATTATACCTTTATTATACATGGTCTTCAAGGAGCTTATAACTCAATTGGTTTAGAGCATTTACTTCTGCATCTGATATCGATTCACCATCTCCAAATATCACTTGTATTAGGAAAAAAAAAAGAGAATGCGGTCATATTGCATACAATAATTTCTCCCTATTAAAAATGTGATGGCATAAAGTATTGGATTCATCAACCAAGAAGAAAAGCACAAAAAAGTTGTAAAGTGAATAATAATGGGCCGGAGGGCCCAACAAAACACCTACTCCAGACTGACCCTTGAGTGCTAATCGGTTTGGGCTAGAGATAATTAAAATAACATGAGTTTGAGTCAAAGTCAGCCAAGACCAAAATCTCTTCAGGACTTACCTATAAATGAAGTACAAGCCATCGCGTGCAAATATCTTAAAATCCAAGTCTTACCCTAATCTCTGTCTCTCTCTCAAACCTAGATCATGGCTGGGATGTACGGTCAAGAGGGTGGCGATGGCGCCCCTCCGCCATATGGATCTAGCGGCAGTGGAGGCTACGGTGGCTCTGGAGGCTACGGAAGCGGTGGTGGAGGCTATGGAGGTGGTGGTGGAAGTGGAGGATATGGAGGAGGTAGTGGTGGTGGTTATGGAGGTAAAGGCGGCGATGGAGGTGGTTACGGCAGTGGAGGCCGTGGTGGACGAGGTGGTGGAGGTTATGGCGGCGGTGGTGGTCGAGGTATATACAGAATAGTTCTTTGCTTTGTTCGGTCTTTCTAAATTTTTTTAATTTGGTTTGATTTTAATTTGAACTATTGGGTTTTGATTGCAGGCGGAGGATATCAAGGAGGAGATCGCGGTGGCCGAGGTGCCGACCGTGGTGGTGGTGGCAGAGGTGGCCGCGGTGGCAGCGGAAGAGATGGTGATTGGCTTTGCCCTAACCCAGGGTAAACCCTTCCTCTTTTTCTCCCTCTCCTCTCTATCTGATCTATATAGGTTTTTTTTTTTTGCGTATTTAATTTGATGGGTCGTAGATTTCTAACATTGAAAGCTTTAGAATTCAGTTGACATTTCTTTATCCATATGTTTTCTTTATTGCATATGTATCTGTGGTTTTTGAAATTGGTATGGTTGTATATAGCTGTGGGAATTTGAACTTTGCAAGAAGAGTTGAGTGTAACAAGTGTGGCACGCCCTCTCCTGCGGGTGGCGGTGGTGATCGTGGCGGCGGCAGTGGTGGCAGTGGCGGTTATAATAGGGGAGGAAGTGGAGGAGGCTACGGTGGTAATCGTGGTGGTAGAGGTGGTAATTATGATGGGGGTCGAAGTAGTAACTATGAAGGAGGAAAAAGTAGCAGTTATGATGGAGGTAGAGGGGGTAATTTTGATGGTAGAGGTGGAGGTGGTAGTAGAGGTGGTTCTTATGGCAGTAACCAAGGAAGAGATGATGGTGGGTACGGTCAGGTTCCTCCACATGCGCCGCCATCCTATGGTGCAGCTGGAGGCAATTACCCACCATCTTACAATGCTAGTTATGGAACAGATGCAGTTCCTCCTCCTACAAGCTATACTGGTGGGCCTACATCATATCCCCCATCCTATGGTGGTCCTGCGGGTGGTTATGGTGGTGATGGTCTGGGTGATGCAAGGAGTGGTGGCCGAGGTGGCCCTCCTGCTAAATATGATGGTGGGTATGGTGCCGGTGGTCGAGGTGGATATGGTGGTGCTGCTACGGAAGCCCCAGCTAAGGTGAAGCAATGCGACCAGAATTGTGGTGAAACTTGTGACAATGCTAGAATCTACATATCAAACTTGCCACCAGATGTTACTGTTGACGAACTGCAGCAGCTTTTTGGAGGCATTGGACAAGTAAATCCATACCTACTTCTGAACATAGTGAATCTGAGTATTTTTAAGTTTGAATTTAGATTGGTTCTTTTGTATGTGGTATCTGTCATTTCAATCTAAATTATGTGGCTTCTGATTTTCTAGCTTGAGCATGGCAGTTCTCTTTTAATCTTATCATATCTTGATAAGGATGTCATGATGTGCTTTCATTGATTTACAACAGTTCTAAGATACAATTTGTTTTTTTTTTAAAATCCTTGTAATATATGGTAAATTTGTTTAAAAAGCATCCATGTGAAATAATGAGTTATGGACTGTCTGTTGAAGTACGAAGTTAAATTCCCTTGTCTGTTCCCAGAAGTTGGTTATACATTTATGTGGTTAGCTTATGCTGAGTTATTGTTTTTAGGTGGGAAGAATCAAGCAAAAACGTGGCTATAAGGACCAATGGCCATACAATATCAAAATATACACAGATGAATCGGGAAAAAACAAAGGTGATGCATGTTTAGCATATGAAGATCCGTCTGCTGCACATTCAGCTGGTGGATTTTACAATGGTAACAATTTTTCTTTCATCTGCATGGTATGAATCATGATGATAATTGTATTCTAACTGGGTATTGTGCTTAATAGATTACGAGTTAAGGGGCTATAAGATCAATGTTGCGATGGCAGAGAGGTCGGCACCTAGGGCTCCGCTTGACCAGGGGTATCTATCTAACTACTGTTTTTATAATTTAACTGGTGATTGAAATGAGCTCCATTTGTGTTGTTCTTGTGCTATGTTGGCTTCTCACATTGTGGGCAAAAGTCAGCAAGCCTGAATATGAATCCCAGATGCTTTATATTTGCTTGTTTGTTTTATAATTTGTACTTTTTTCTTCTGTCTAACCACTGAAGGTATTGAGTAATTCAATTGGAGTGTTCTGTTAATGAGGTTTATGTTGTGATTTTTGAATGTGGTTTAGAGTTGGTTGATTTTCTGTTTTGGTTTTGTCGATGCTAGTTTGTGTGATGATTTTTTTTAACTGGGAGAAGTCTCTTTGCACCAACGAGTTTCTGGTTTTCTGACTTGATTCTTGTGCAAATTATTTATCTATATTTTTTGGGCTGCATACTGATTTATTTTTCTGTGCAAACAGTGGTGGTAGAGGTGGATATGGGGGCGGTGGGCGCAGGGATAATTATAGAGATGGTGGACCTGATAGACATCAACATGGCGGAAACCGTGCACGGCCTTATTGAGAGAATTTCCCAATCAAGCAGAATTTATGTAATGAGAATTGTTGTCTGATGGTTTTTGTTGTATTCCGTTGGAGGGTTCTTTAAACTGGAGACTAAGAGGTAGGTTGTTCACTAACCCTGAGCAAGGCCTCTCTCCTCCTGTATTACTTTACCTACAACCTGGAGGGTTTTAATTATAGGCATGGGATTGATTTAGTCGTGTGAATGTTTTTTAGAGACAAGTGGATAATCTCCAAATTGCTTGCTGCTAAGGTAGGTTGATATTTTCAGGTGAGTGCTGCTCTTTCATAACCATTATTAACACTTTTTTGGAGATTTGCCCAGCTTTGGATCGCTGGGTTCTTGATTGCATCGGATCATTTAATATATATGGCTCAGATGCAAGCATAAATAGAAGCATGTGAAATGCATGGTCATGATTATGATGTATACATTCATTTCTGACTGAAAATTTGACACCTTTATGAATAATGGCTGAGGTTGCTTAACTTGCCCTCTCTAGAGGGCCTAGATAAACCAAAATCTTTTCTTGCCCATTATTCTCATGTGGCTAGGATTTTATATTGTAATGTACTTATGTTTGAATGTACCAATCATTAAATTGGTGGCATGCTATATTAGGTGATGTGTAATGTAATACACTTAACCTTTAGGTCCAGGTACAGGACTGGTTTAAATTGCTAGCTTGTTACTCCGTATAAGTTTGCAATTCTGTCAGCTATCTAAGCATTTAGTGATTGAACTGAAGTCATTGGAGTATAGTAGTGGAAGATATTAGTAACATTATATCGATGTTTGAAAAACTGTCCACATTGAATAGGATCTGCTATTTTGATTTGACATTTTGATCATGTGGCGCGGAGGCTCACCCCTGGTGATAATTTTACTTGACCGCATCAGTAATTAGTGTTTAAGATCTAGTATTGTTTTGCTACATTGTCTTGATGCTCAAAGTTTGGGGTACCGGTTTCCTTTATTGATCTTCTACTTGCTGGGTTGGGCTAGCCTCTCTGGTGACTGCAAAGTACTTGTGGATGACAAGGATCTCTATGTAAAAACCTACCTTCAATTGTCATTTCCTCCCTTGTGTTGCTGATCAGTGCGTGTTGTCATCTGGCCTTCTTTCTTTGGTGGTTTGGCGGCAGTTCTTTGAGACTCCTTATGTTGAGCAACTGCTGCTGTTATTTTATTCTAGGCTTGAAGCCTCTGTGCCAACATGAAGATAATTTCTTCTTTGTTTCAATTTCGTTCTAGGGTGGCTTGTAATGACTTGGCTAGATCAGTCGGACAAAGTCAAGCAGTTGGTCTATGGCGGGAGGTTTTATATGATATTGTAGAGGAGCGTTTGATTGCGCTTTGTAAATCCGAAACAATAACGATTTCGTTTAAAACTTTATTTTGTCGAATGTGTTTTCGTTGTTTCTTTGCTTTATGTGAAGATTTACTTATGTTCCGAAAGTTTATTCGAATTATGAAAACAGAAATACATAAATCCCTTGTATTCCATTGCACCTGAGCAAGAATGACCAGATCGTGATTCATGAAAAGTGGTTTGTGTTTAGTTGATTGTGATAGTGAAAGAAAAAAAATAATGCTGCTTTTACCATCTTTTTATATCACATTTTTATACCATCTTATGTGGCAGATGAGGTGTACAACAGCATCAATTAAAAAGTGTCAATAAATCATAAAAGAAAAGAAAATGTTAAATTAGTTTTAATTGATGTGATTGTAGCATTACTCAAGAGAAAAACACGAGTATTAAAATTGATGGCCTTGTCTTGACCGAAATATTTTTAGATGGCCGTGTCAAGGTGATGAAGGGTGGTTCAATTGAAATTGATGACAAAATTTTAGATTTTAATATCAATAATTTTTTTTTCTTCACCCATTTGTGTTTGCAGATTAAGCATTTTTCTTTTCTTTCTGGTTCTTACCAATTGCTGCCCTTGTTATATCCCCATGGTAATGACTGGTCACTTCACGAGAGAAAAGGAGCTAAAAATGTGATGTGAGAGGGTTGGAACTAGGTAGACTGAAAATAAAAAGCAAAAAAGCCCACGAGGGAAGCGAGGGAAATGCAGCTCCACTAATTCAACTGCATATCACATCTTGCTATTGCTCATGTAATTGCTGCCAAAACCCTTTGGGATGTCGAGATAATTTACATTTCTGAACCACTATAATCATTGGCAAACAGAAGAGCATAGTCTGATCTCTGGTCATCTAAACGCCTGCCGGAATTCTCATCCCATATCGTGCCTTGGTTGCATGCCATAAGAAGGATGTGGCATTGGTACAGAGCCATATGGAGTGGCAGCATCAGCACCACCCTGGGCCTGAAAATGCAGAGGTCATATACGTATGTTCAAGGATCATTTGAATGAAAAAGGTTTAAAAGAACGAATTTGAAGTTTGATAATAGGACTAGGGTTGTTTGGAAAAGTAGATATACAATGTATTTAAATTAATTCAAAAGAAGTACATATAATGGAACATTTTAAGTTGACAGGATCGTCGCAATTCATATATTTCTTCCATTTCTTGCCATACTAAGACAAATGTTTGTGTTTCGCTATTCCATGTTCGTCCCATTGTTGTCAAGTCTGGGAGTAAAATCAATGCCATAGAATTGCTGTTATCTTCCTACAGTTCACTAACTCTGAAGTGCAACAGATTGCCACAAACAGAACTGGGTGATTTCACAAGAAAAATTTCCTCAAAATTTCCTTGTTAATATCTTCTGATTTCAGGGTTTAACACAGCACAACTTCCTTCTCATTTTTCGAATTTCGAATTACTCTAAACCATCTAGCACCTATTTGGTCTCAAGAAAGAAATGACGGTTGAAGTCAGATACTTTCTGATCAAGATAGAACAGTTTTCATCCCAATCTTCATGTTGTTATTTGTACTAACTCCATATTTTGTAGGTTCTAAATGTGGTTATCCTTTAAGGCACTAACAATTCTTGCACATCTTTTCCAATGATTTTAATCTACTGAGTAACAACATACACAAGAGTAAGAGTGATATGAGGAAAGCATCAAGAAGCCAAGGACATACACATACCTGATGCAGCATGCCACAGGGGTCGGGGTACGCGTTTCCTCCATATACCATTTCGGGGTCGCCATAGGTTGCAGGATATCCAGGACCTGCATGAACACAACCGCAAAGTCACTAAAACTCATACATTGTATTTGGGTTAGTGAGTTTAAAATAGGAAGTTTACATCAGAATTCAAAACCATAGCTCAATGGAAAGAAACAAGATGAAGATGAAGGAATAAAATTACCTGGGTTTGCTGCTGCAGCAGCTGCTACTGCTGCTCTTGCTCTCTTCTCTGCATTGGCCAACTCCCCATGAAGTTTTTCAATCTCACGAGCCAAGGCAGCCATGGTTTTCTCCATTCCCTGCCGGTGTTCAAGGTTTTTAGCTCTGGTTTTCGTTTCATTCTCAATTGCAACCCTATGCATCACACAAAAAGAGATTGAATTTTTATGTGCACAATTTCATAATTGACAAAAAAAAATTTCAAAGAACAAAGAATTCAAAATCACCTTCCTGTAATTAATACTGGTTGTTCTCTAATAGCAGATAAATAAATAAATAAATTATTCATAATCTACACAATTCTCTTCAAAGAAATTCAAAACTACCTTCCTTTCTTAATCTCCTGCTGGAAGGTCTCAATATCGGCTTTAATGTCCACCACTCGCTTCGACTCGGACCGAGTTTTCGCAACCTCTCCTTCGATCGATTGCAACTCGGCTACCAGCTCCTGGCGCACGGAGCCGAGCTCCTGAATATCGGCGCGGGTCCGAGCCAGCTCGGCGCCCATGGAGTCGATGGTGCGAACCTCGGCGTCCAGCTTCAACGACCTCTCGTAGACCTCGCGCATCTCGATGTTAACGATTAATCGGCGCGACGGCGACTCTCTGACTGTTACAGAGAAACGAAGAGAGACTTTTGCTGCTTTTTTTGGTAGTGCTGGGCCTAAATGGGCTCATGAGATAGGCCCAATGAAGCCTATGTCAGCTACAAATTCAACTCAAAAATGAAATTCAGAAAATCATTTTCCCGCCGAAATGTCAGAGATCTTTCAATCACTTGTCTTGAACAGAAGGTCTGTTCTTCTTCTCCAATCTTCTTCCTCTCTCTCTCTCTCTGGTGTTGAAAGGCTTGAGATTTTGCAGGTTCGACGATGCGACGCTGCGAGTATTGGAATCGGCGTTGGTTTCCAAGAACGTGAAGTCGTCGATAGAGGTCAGGTCCGGCTTGAGGCAGTTCCTGCGGTCCGAATCTCTCTCCGTTCTGCGAGAAATTTCCGAGAAAAGTGCCGGGGAGAAGCTTCTGGTTCTTGAATTTCTCGTTCGCTCCTTCGCACTTGTAGGCGATGTTGAGGCAAGTCATCTCTTTTGTTGATTATCAAGAACTTCATTTCCAGGCGCAATTGCTTCTAATTTGAACTTTTTTGAATGTTGATTTGCTGAAATTGGTGATTTTCATGGACCTACGTAGCTAATAATTCTGATCGCCAGGTAAATCCCTATTGTAGTTAAGTAGTCTGTGAACCGGTTTTTTGTTTGCAGAGTTGCTTGGCTTTGAGGTATGAGGCTTTGCTTTTGCGGGACCTCAAGTCTGCGACTAATCCATGGCTGCAAGTTCCGTATACAGAATGGCTAAACTTTGCTCACCAGTCAAAAGATTGTGGTTTCTATTCTGTTGCAGGAAGGGTGAGTGTGATCGATCATCATCTTCATCTTCATCAATATCATTATCATTATCATTATCAGTTTTCTTATTTCTTAACTTTTTCAATTAAGAGAGGGCTTTTTGTGTGGAAAGTTGTGTTCTGATTTTTAGATCATCATGATTGATTTAGTAACCAAGTCTGTAATCAATTCCTCGATTGGGTTCGAGATAACAGTTAGAAATACAAGTCCATCTAGATTGCTTGATTTAGTATCTAAGATTTTTGTTATGATTTCTGTGGATTGCTACTCATATCTAGAATGTGCTGGTACAACAAATCATAGGTCCACTGCTATATATAAGGCTTATTTTCTATTAGATGGAGATGGATCAGATATTCAAATCTATTGCGTCTGTGTACCTGTTCATTTCACATGTAATTAACTGTGTGTGTTTTTTCTACTTATTTTCTCCATCTTCTTATTGTGGTATTAAGTCGTCTAGCTAGACTTCATAAGCCTTTGTAGTTTTGTATGTTCTGATCTAAGCTTGTTTTTCTCCGTAGGCATGTGAAAATGCATTGGTTTGCTTTAAGAGGAAATGTGCTGAAGACCCAAAAACAGATGAAGTTTACCTTACGAAGAAATCTACTGAAGACGCAAAAGCAGATGGAGTATTTGAAAATGTGCAAGTTATTGAACAGATAAAGAGACTCAAGGATTGTGCCATGGCATCTGCTTCTTCCCACTCTGGTATGTGTTATTAATTGTTTTAATTTTCTTTAATAGTAATGTTAAACCAGATTCAAAGTTTGTATAATATATGCCAGAGTATCTGTTGAAGTCAATTTGAGACAGTGAGTTAATAGTAATATCCACAATCTACTGGGGTTGGTTACTAAGCTTCCTACTTGCTTAGTTATTTGAGGTCATAATGCTGAATTGGCTGCCTTAAAATGTTAAACTGCAGCTTAACCTATTTGTGATATGAGGCTAAGTTTTTCAGACCATTATCTCCTGATAAATAGGTAATATGTTGTATTCTGCAGAAACAAACCTCTCGTTTTCATCATATAGTACTAATGTAATGATATGGCAGTATCAGCTGCAGTTCCTCAACTACTATAGTAGAGTATTTACTCCTGTTCAAAATCAATTCATTGATCTTATATGTAAATTCCATAATTTCCGTGTAAAATACTCCCCATGCTACTGCATCACATCGAAAGGCATCAATTTAGTACGACCTGCGTGGGAACCATACTACATCTAAATCAGAAAGCATACAAAAAATCGTCCGAAAAAAAAAGAAAGCACACAAAAACGAACATCAGTACAAAATTCTGAAAGATATGTGATAGACTTGTATCTGCTGTATAATAAGAAGTATAAATTTGGGTGAACTGACTGTCTAGCCATACTCTGTAGGCACAGAGCTTGAGATCTCTCATGAGCCTAGGCTTTAAGATTATGCTAGTATCTTTGAAGCTCAGTAGGAAAAGACAATATCGTAGTTCAATGACCAGATTATGTAGTTCTGCTTGGTGATTTGTCTATATGACTTTATGTGGCTCATCTTTGGTAACTGAGATTTATGTTAAGAAACTTATCAATGGCATTTGGGATTTGTTTGCTATAGTTTGATCATGGAAAATTCTGTTTGGTCATAACCAGTTCAGGCGCAGACAGCAGACTACTTGAAAAAGAGACTAAAAGAAAAGAGCATGGATTGTTCTTCAGTTTGCAAGGACACGAAATCTGTAGCTAGCACTTTGTTCAGAAATGGAATAAAAAAGCGTAATCTACGAAAATTGAATGAGAGTCGAAGCTTGTCCAGGATGACTGATGGATCATAGCCTAGTTTAATTTGAGGTCATTGCCAACATCTTTGTGCTTATGGAGTTTTATTGATTGCATATTGGATGGGAACCCTGAAGTTCAATAGTCAGATGAAGACTATAATGAGATGTGCTTGTGTGCAACAAAGAAAAGCCAAGCCAGTTGTGTTGGCTTGTCAGTTTCCGACATATATATTGAAACGGTCAAGTTAAGATGGATGTTAAATCCCCTTGGTTGAGCCCATATTGTAGCTTTGTAGAACTTGACTAGAACAAGACTTTCATACATTTCAAACTTTGCTAGTCCAATGCCGCCTGTAGCCAAGTACTAAATTCGGTTCCTAATTCTTACTTACCCAATATTAAGGGGAAAACTTGCATGTTCCTATCTCACTCATCACTTGACCAATATTCCTATCTTACAGATCATGTGATGTGTGAGATAAGAACAGAGTGGGAACCCCTTGAAGGGAAGTTTTTGTCCGTAGTAAGAAGATAAAGACCAAAGTAAAAGCTAAAGAATATCAAACCAAATTGGGGAAACATTTTTCTTTTCTCTTTTCAAGATCACATTGGTTTTCTCTAGCTTGGAGTTTTTATGCATCAGTCTGGTCCGGTCGCAGGTACCCAGATGGCATTCTCAAGCCGGCTCAATTTTAGGCCCAAAGGACAAAAGGTACTCACACTTATCTGTCCTTTTCCCCTTGTTTATTTATTTTCATATTTTCTGTGCATCTGTATAGTTATTTTGGCCATGGTCTTTTGGGTACTAATTAGAAACTTGAAATGAACATATATGTAGCTAACGGCTAGCGTGCCCCAGCTTGTACTCACCGCTTTATTTATTTATTTATTTATTTATTTGTCAAAATTAGGAAGAGAAAGAAGGTAAATTCACACACACACAATTATTATAATAGGGGCTTGAACTCAGAGAAGGGGGAAAACTCACACACACGGGTATTATAGGGGCTTGAACTCAAGACCACTTAAGAGTACACCAAAGACTTGTGCCAATCCAACTAACACCCCATTGGTATCCACCGCTTTATTTTCACCCCAATATTTTCATTGTATTGAGTTGATCATAGTGGGAAACGGTCGCATTGGAAATCCAACACCACTTTTTCAAGCAATTGAATTTGAGGTCAGTCGTAGCCATTTGAACTCCCCCACTGCTGAGGCTGCCATTGTCAAAGATGGCTTCTTCTAATATCATCCACCATCTTATAGAAATCAGAATATTAGAAAGATTAGAAAACCATGCATATCTCAAGAATCGAATCTTCCATATCACCAAGCAAGTGCATTCAATGTTTGCATCGGAGGTTGCATGTTTTATTTTTCTCTAAGTTGGTGAAAGATGTCTGTTTTTTCCTCTTCTTTATTCATTAGCTTAAAATATAACAGTAAAACAAAAAAGTTTACATAGATCGCACCGTCTAGAGCGTAGAAGTTTTTCTTCTTCCTAGAGCTTAGGGGTTTGAAACTTCAAACTGAAAACTGAAACTTATATATAAATAATATCATTAAAAAAACTACGCGTTTTCTGAGGTGATACACTAAAAGAAATTCAACAATATGGCCCCCCATTTTAATGTTAAAATAATGTATGAGAGATAAGATGAGAGTCTAACTGAAAACATAGACTTGGTTTATTATTTAAGATTATATATACTTAAAGAAAAAGGAAAAAAAAGAAACAGATATATATATATATATATATATATATATATATATATATATATATATA